AGAAGAATAATCAGGACCACAGATTATATTATTAAAACAGGTAGATCCGGGTTTTTTACAATCTTTCTTATTATTATTTTTTATTAGCTGTGCCCGCGGTTTCACCCGTGTTAAATTTTAATAAAAAATAGCCTATATGTTATTCTGATGCATAATAGCTATATTACTGTAAAGTTTCATGAAAATGAGTAAATACTACTCAAACTACTGCGTGAAAAAGTAACAAACATCCATACTCACAAATTTTCGCTTTTATAATATTATTAAGATATACTGATGAGTTAGAGACTGCCTAGTGTTTATTTGAACGATGAAGTTGTGACAGAAAAAATAGACTGTATACAAGAAACCGCGCTTGCAGATAAAAATGTTCACCGTTTGTTCTTCTAGCATAAAATACAATAAATAAAATAGTCTGCCTCGGTCAAAAAATTCATGATAAAATGTGATTTTTTTACATACTTCACTAGCTGACCCGCGCAACTTTGTCCATATTATCCTGATTTTTGCAACATTTTTAATTGCAACTTCGATCCTATTGCTCATGGCGTTATATTCTACAAATGGTCTATTGAACACTAAAAAAATTCTAAATTGATCATTAGTACCAAAGATTACCCTGAAGATACAAACTCACAAAATTTACCTATTTATAATATTAATAGGCCCCTGCTTCACACAGGTATATAATACATATATGCCTTCCTCGTGAATGACTATCTGTTCCTAAAAACTGCATTAAAATCGAACGAGCGAATAGACAGCGAAAGCGACTTCATTTTTATACTGTGTATAGAAACGTTTACGGAACAAATTCTTAACAATGAAGCCTATATTATTTTTTCATCTCTAGATGACGCAAACACATAAGAGTTTAGGCGGGCCTTTCGCAAACTATATTTGTACGTGAGGCTCGTGAGGCCTTGATATTGGTCGGATTCAAGGTTTCGAAAAGCACGCAGGATAATCCGTATGAGTTGAAGGTCGAACGAGTCGGTATATTCAAATTCGCCTGCTTCCAAATACATAATATACTATTATTGAGTATTTACACGGTTAAATACCCTGTTTATTATCTCAATATGCACTAAATCAGTTTCTATCGTGTACTGCATTTCAAACTAAAAAAAAAAACAAATATTAAAGCTAAGTTTAGAGTGAATTGAATGACCACCAGCGTGTACTATTAAATTTAGCCACGGACCCGGTGGTCTATCAGTTAAGCACACCGTCTTACTTCTGATGGTCGCGGATTTGTTCCTCGCACGACGCAAATATTTATATTCAGAAGAACAATTGTTGTGTAGGTTTATCTGTTTACTACGAATATTAAGTATTTACGAAAAAACATGTAGATAAGTATTTCTATCAGTTGTCTAGCACCCATAACACAAGCTCTGGCTAATTGGGACTACATGGTACTGTATGAATTCTTTAGAGTTATTATTATTATTAATGTCATTCAAAAGAAAAAATGCAGGATAAAAAAAATACCAATAATATGATAAATGACTAGCAATGGAATCACCAATCTCTAATAACAACAATCCCCTCTCCGGAGGACAAGATACAACTGACCATTCAAGGGTAAGATATCACAGAAATAATAGATTGTTAAAAAATCTACTTTGAGGGCAGCTTTTTTAACAATTAAATACCGGGGGAATGGTTTTGTTAGTGATAGGAATAGCGATCCCATTCCTGTTTGTACTACCAGCAGGTCGATAATGACAAAAAAAATATCACGTGCATAAGATTCCTACAAGAAAAAAAATTATTAAATTTGAACGGTGCAATAGAAATATTAGGTATATTACTACACCTTATACCTAGAATGATGGAAAGGATAATGTGAATAATTGTGAGCAATATCAATAAAGCCATATTAATTATTTAATCTCGGTATAAAACCAGCCACTATATGAGACCGTACAGTATAAAGGTTTGTCAAACCGCCTGTAAGTAAATTCATAACCTAGAACAGCTGACTGTGAAAGGAATAGGTGGACGTTACTAAACCTGCTCATCCCTGGGTAGGTACCACGTTTCACAACTCAGTCCATGATGGAAAACACCACCAGGTGACATTGGTGGGCAGTCACGACTCTCAACGACGAAATAGGCCTTAGGACGTACCCTAATAAGCAGATACCTAAATTACTCAAGTAGTAATTTATACATATCTTTTTGCTTTTAAGAATTTACATCTTGGGCTACTAATAAGTTCAAATAATGTGGAATTGTTTTTAAAAGTTTATAATTCTGATAATGTCTAGTAGGCAATTGTAAGGCAGTATTATTTTAAAATGAGAATAAAATAAAAACTCACTTTCTACGACGACCGACGTTGCTGTTATCGCTCGGAAAGTTAAAGGATTCGCCAAAAATCCGATATTGCAAATCTTCTCCGTCATCGATTTGATATTGCATGTCTCACAACAATTACGGGGCGTTAAGACGAAATAAACCACCCTTATGTTTACTTGACTTTAGAATCATCATTATACATAATAAGATCGGCACTTTTTATTAAACATTGAGAACATAACCATAAATTTTGCCGCCAATTTCAATAGAGATCTACACAAAGTCATAGATCTACCTACTGTCAATATTAAAGTTATATTTTTTTTCTATGCAGAGAACGCAAATGAATCTCGGCTGTTACACGCGCGGAGCCGGACTGACTGATTGAAATGAATGACTTGAATCGCCTCGCCGGTCGGCTCGAAAGCGAGGGGCCGACACCAAAGTTGTCGCCGTCCTCGTCTCGCTGCGGGTTGTTTCATAATGGTCGAAGAATTCCTAAGTTATTATGTTGTTCATTTTAATGCGGGTTGTCGATTATTTGCAGGTGTAACATAATTTAAATATGTAGTTATCTATTAACTAGCCGATAATTAGAAGTAATATATATATATTATTTAGTGTAAATTGATAACAACTTTTATACACCACAGTTTTTTAAGTTAAGAAAGTGTAGAGTTTCAACAAATAGCTACTTCTACACGATATAACGATACAGTAGTATGTAGGTTGGGGTGAAGAGATTTTTTAATCGATGATTATGAAATTGTGCACCTGTCTGCGCTAACGCTTTACCCTAGCAGGGCACCAGTGGACGATGATAGGATGAACATGAGGTCCCGTCAATTAGTCCATCGTAGCAAATTCACTAGGAATTTATCAGGAGAATCCAGTTTAGGTCAACCTCACATAGTACATTGCTAACGATCGAGTTAATTAATTCATATTACTAACAAAGTTGTAATTGTGAATTCGCCTCGATGGGCTAATAGAAAAAACTTCCCATGTTAATCTTATTTTTTTATTACAGTGACGTCAATTTAACATACGGTCTATCTGATGGTAAAAGGTTACTGCAGCCTGTGGACACATCTACTGCTCCCTGCTAACGTTTACTGTTAGTGCAGGCGGGTGAAACACTTTATTACCCATTAAAAAAATAATAGGTTAGGTTAGGCAGCCCCAGTCACCACCAGTTGAGGTAGTATAAATAAAACTACATAATATCAGTCAAGTACCCTGCCCTGCCCAGTTCTTCTCGTAGGGCCTTAACGACTAATCGTCATGAAATTCAATGTTTCGATCACGCAAACTAATGATATCCGAGACTTCATACCCGTCATAATTACTGCAGCCGTTTTTACGTGAAACCTTTACACACAAACATATATAGATATATACAGACAGTGCCTCGTTACGATTTTATTATATGTAAATACTAGCTGGTACCTGCGACTTCGGCCACGTAAGATGTATCTTGACAATATCTTACGAAAGTTTTATAAGTATGAGTACATACTTATAGTTGTAAGACGTCCGATATATATACTCTATGGTCGGGTAAAACCGAGGTGGGTGTCACTAGTACATATATTATAAAAAAATCAGAGGTCAAATGCGTGACGTCATACGCGATTATTGATAAAAGTAAGTGTCCAGTTCACACACCGGACAGACCTACATACATACGTACACGATAAACAATAACATGTTATATTTATTTACATCAAAAAAACATTTTGAAAATACAATCAGATACGAAAATACATGTTTTAATCTTATATAGGTTACCAATTACCACCATACTCCTCCAAAACAGCTTGTCCGATTTTTATGAAATTTTATATGCATATTCAGTAGGTCTGAGAATCGGCGACTATTTTTACTTTTTGACAAAAGTATTATTTTTTATAATGTGGCATTAAGAAAAATATAGAAGCCTAAATAACCACCCTTCTACCAACAACCCGTATTTTTTAATTGCGATTTTAATTTATTTATTTATTGCAAAACAGCGTTTGTGGCGTCAGCTAATACAGGTATATATTTTTTCTGTAGCTTCTTTCTTAGGACATAGGATTGTCAATTTACTCCTAAACGACTAGACCGATTTTATTTATATGTGTGTATATTTTAATAACTTCCTAAATGGATTGAAAACACAATTCGATTCGATCAATTATGACGGGTCAACACGGGTAAACACTTCTTAAACTGGTGAACAGTTTAAGAAGTGTTTAATATTGGACTGTACTGACTTTTTTTATGTAACTGGAATAACAAACAAGCTGACAGCTCAACTACTACTACGATTAATACAAGGATATGAGGATTGGGAAATGATGTCAGAACAGATGGTAGGCAATCGTTGCTTAAATAATTAACAGTACTACGGCTAATATGACATATACTTCATGTATTGCCATTCCTGACGAGAAAGATATTATTTTCTTTTCATATACACACATATCTTACCCTTCAACAGTACACAGCTTACAAAACAAGCTGATAGTTGCAGAAGTAGGTAAGAGAAATGAACTCGCGCAGGCCATTTTATACAATCCCTCTATTCAATATTTGGTAACGCTACAGACATACATACTTATAGTACTTAATACCTCAAATACTCAAATAGATGAATACAAAAATATATTATTTAAAATATTAATAAATATGAATATAAAAGAACTCACTCCTGTTTGATAATAACATAGTCCTCTTCTGCTTCTGTAGATAACTTTGCTTGTAAATTTTTTAGTTTCTCGATCTGAATCTGCATATATGATTTGGTTTCATCCTCCATACTGAAAAAAAAGGAAGAATAAAAGGTGCTGCTCAATTGTAGATTCTCGTTATCTATACTTTTAAGTCCTTCTTTTATATTTAAGAAAGTCTATAGATATAAAAACCGGTCAAAAAGCTTTGTAGGTCGGACAGACTCGAATACGGGTGAATAATTCTTTTTATTCCGTAAGCATGAATTCACATTAAATAGGTTTAAGAATACAGAACAAAAAATACAAGTGGCATGTAACTGTGAGCATATTTTTGCGAGATTTATTCTCTACACTACAATAACATTATAGGTCTTATTTCTCAAATCAAAGCGCATCCGAAGAAGTGACAGTTTGTAACCCAAAAGCATTAACGACAATTGGCGAACAATTGATATCCAAACAATAGATACGTCTAGGTCGAAAATATAGATACAACTTTCCAACTGCATATATTCTGCAAACTTTATTAATGGATGATAAGGTTATGGTTTCTTTTTTTGTGGATAATGGAAAGTGGCACTACTCTAACGGTAGGTATACGTTGCAGGACACCATTGGAGGCTCATTGTTTCCATTCGTTAGCTCCAAATTTTGCCCCTAAATTATGGTATTATAACGACAAATTATCTAGACAAATTTTAGAACAAAAGAAAGTAAACCAAAATACCTCGCTAGCACACTAACAGACTTATATTGTCTTCCTGCAGTATAGATAGCGAAAAAAAAATTAAACAGCTAACAGAGGCAATTATGAGATTTATTTTTTGATGATCATGGAATGAATGCTTGCTCTAAAGTTGTTTGCTAGTGGGGCACCATTGGATGATACAATGATAATTTGGATAAGTCAGTTAGCCCATCGTAAATTCATCACGAATTAACCAGTTTCCAAGAGTGTCTTTCCGTGAACTCTCTTTTTACTTTGTTATAAAGTATAAAGATACTTTGATAAGTGTACTTATTTAAATAATATCGATAGATTAGAGTGGTGAACTAGGGCGCCATTATTTTTACTCTGTAGTATATAAAGTAGTGAGGTCATCTGTACTAATGATATAGGTTGGCGGAGCAATAAACTGAAGGATAAAAATCTACTGACTAATCGTCCAATAGCAAGATTGTAATTACTTGTATAAAGTATGTGGTGAGGATGACCTACAAGCTGTAAGCGCAATTTTGGACACAGCCTTACTTTCGATGGCCGCGGATTCGATTCGCACAGTACAAACATTTGTAATCATGAGTATGATACTGATTATATCAATCTGGGTGCTTTCTATCTATATTATGTATTTAAAAAAATTATGCAAGTATACTATCAGTTGTCTGGGATCCTTAATAAAAGTTCTGCTTAGCTTGGCTAGTCCCAAGCTAAGCAGAACTTTTATTAGGGATGATGATGGTGCTGCGTAAATCGTTTAGGGTTATTATTACTATTATTATTGTATCACAAGGACGAGCATAGACAATATTTTATCTCAAAAAAGAATCTGAAAGGGGTAAAATAGAAGGTGAAAGTTTTTGCAAAAGAAGATGCGGGTAATAGCTAGTGAAACATATCATATAAATCTCTAAATATGTCTACAGGGGCCAGGTAGAGATATGTACCAAATTATAGTAAAGATAGAGACCAAAATATAATAGGTAAACTTACTATATTTTGGTATGAGGCCACGGTCCACGTTCGTGGCGATAGCACTATTTTTTCTGAGGATATCTTTGTAGGAACCTTTCTCTCATATTTGGATATGACAACTAAAGTGAATCAGATTCTAACTTGTTTCGGCTTTTGTATATATGTAATAGTTTTGGGTCATAATAATTTTGTTTTCAGGGACGTTATATAGAAAACTAACTTTCAGCCGCGTCTTTGTCTGGATGTAATGGATTATATCCTATTTTTCATCGTGATTAAATTATCTTCACGTTCACTTCCGATTAGTCATCAAAAAGTAACAAACTGACAACAAGTCCCATTTAATATAATAGTATGGACAATATTGTAAGGCAGTAGAAATTAATGGTTTTGTATTCAGTGTTATCAATGACTACTAGGAACTGCACTATTCTGAAATATAACCCTACTTCTCATTGACATGTTTACCAAACAATAAGGATATCTACTGAGTAATAATAAATTGTTGATTTATACACATAACTGTCTTGTATAATATGTACGCTATGTAAGTAGCAAAAATAACGGCATGGCCGAGTTTGTAGTGTTGCATAATCACAATGGACGTCGACATTGAACCATATTAGTGCTCGAACGATATTGGGCGTAATCAAAACAATTTATAGTTCTGTTTTCATTACGCTACAATTGTAGTTTTAAGTTCATACTTTCCTTGATGTACCTTTCCAAGATTTCTTTTAAATTTACCTTTCAAAAAGAGAATCCGTTAAATATTCGAAGTTCCAAATTCGAAGTAAATACGTTAACGTAATGCAAGGTACTACAAATATGCAATCTAAAATGGTAGACTACACTTGCAGCATATCTCTCATTTTCATATATATCCATAATTTAATTTATCTAATCATATAAAATACTTGAAAAAAAACGGATATTTATAAGAAAGTAAGTTTTGTGGTTAGTTTCATCCATAATGACGACATTATCGATCGACAACGTACCTTGAACGCTCATTATTCTCCATACACTAACTACTGAGATAAATAAAGGTAAAAATTAAAATCTTTATCAATAAATATATTATTAAAAAGTATAAATTACACAAAATTGCACAGGGATGAAATAAATAAATATTATTCTTCGAAAAATTTACAAATGTACACGATTCGTTAGAGTCGTTATTACAATCCAAATACAAAATTAGCTATCTCAGTCCCACCATTGTATGCTTGCAGACATAAGAAAGAGATAAACTGAGAGCATAAATAGAAGACAATCTACGAACCAGAACCAAGGCCGCCATTTTTGTACAATGAATTTTACAAATATAAAACTTGTCTGTGGTCATAAATATTTATATTGCCAGTAAAAAAAAAAACTGAGTAGTAGTGATTACTTACTCAGTGCTTATTATTTTAATAATACTGTGTACATGTATTCTAGTCCCCTCTGATCGATCCCCCGTCCAATTCAAACGGGAATCGAAATTACGATGGCCTGAACCGAGATTCAAACCTTAGACTAAAGTCGTATCCGTCAGGCGGGAGTTCGCTCCATAAGTCCTTCCGCGGGTTTGGAGTGCAATCTGCACTCATCCCCTATTGTCCGGTGATGCTATAAAGGTTAGCTACGCCCAACACCATTAGAGTAGTGCGAAAAAAATTATGTACATATATATACAATTGTACATCCCATACGTTGTCTAAAAAACAATGACGGAACACTGTCTGATGGTTTTGTTGAATACCTAAAAATTTCATTTGATAGACAAAACCTCATGTTAATATTCTTCCCTTCTGCGTCTCCAACTGAATTCATTAACACTTAGGTATGTAAGTAAATATTCCTTTTAGGATAAGTGGGTATTACGAGACTTATTTAGCAGTGGACTAGATAACTATATGTAAATGGACATAAACTTAGATAGATTAATTCAACCATTGCTGAATCAAATAAGCATTATCTTTGAATAAATTCTATAACTAATTAACTAATATTATAACTTTCCTTATATTATTAACGATAACATCAGAAACCAAGATATCGCAAAATTTTCTCGAGTATTTTTATAATAAAATATTGTAGAACTATAACTGTAAAAATGTATTATGATGACAGAGTATTTATTTGGAAATATAAGTAGACATTGAATTTTTAATAGTAAAATTGTTAGTTTTATGTAAATATTATTGAATCTAATTGCTCAATTTCCCATCTGCAGTTATATGTTAGTACTGAATAAGAAACATTCATGTTATTATAATATAATGAGTACCTCTATTGAAATGACAACTAGCAATTCGTATAGTATAGCACAGTGTATTATTGTATTATAAATACTTAGGATTAGAACGAAATCATTTTTATTAAATCTGTTAAAAATGTTTAGTTTTATTTCGTATTTTATATAAATAATATAAAATTCGAAATAAAACCGCGTTACACTATCAAAGCAATGTTTGCTATAGAATAGGCAACACTAGCATTAGCCACTTAAAAATAAAACAGAGATCTCTATTGGTTTTAACCACCCGCGAATTTTCTTGCTTAAACTTGACTTACTTTATTTTGTTTGTTTACAATAATAGATAGCAGGCTTTGGCAATGAAATTCCGTGCAGTGATGGTGGATGCTGGACCTATGAGAGAATTTACAAGTTAGTAATCAAAATTCGTGGAACATTTTAGTTTGTCTTGTATTGCTGTTTAATATTAAAATCTTTTGTGTCTAATACTTTACAGATATAGTTACAACAATATCAAAATTATCGAAGGAATGTGTACTAAGAATAGCTAGTGATCAACTGTATTTTATCGTAAGCGATGAGAATAGTGGTCCAGCACCTCCAATATTGTGGTGTGAGATTCCACAATCTATATTCTTCTCAGAGTATCAAATGGTTGGATTGGATGAAGAGCATAAGGATATCTATCTAGGTTTCAGTTCAGGTGATATATATATTTCATATTTATGTAAAATCACTCATCATCTACTTACTTTAATTATTTTACAAATAATTATAAAATATTGCTCAATTTTCTGTAAAGAAGACTGTCACTATACAACTAGTATACATCCAATATTTATTTACACCATTACACTTTTGAGAGAAACTTTTATTGTTTCTTGACAATAGAGTTATGCTGGAATTCAAATTGAAAATATCTTTATTCCTGTAGTTCTATTACAGACTCTTATGATGTGTCAAATCTATTGTCAGTTCGGAATGATTTTGAGATGAGAAGAACTGACAAGAAACTCAGCTCTTATTCTTTTCGAATAAATGTTGGACATGTTTAAATAATACAGATACATTTTTTAATTCAAATTTGGGAGTATAGAGTGATCACCAGCATATACTATTGCAAAATCAAAAAGTTTAATCAGTGTTTGTAACCTGATCAGACAGGTCCCCAAGCAGCACCTGTTCACAAGTATGATGGATGAGCCAGCCATCATTGCACTCAACCATATTAGAGATAATTGTTTCAAGTTACTGCACTACATCATTTATATTATTTACAGCAAAGGCTGTATTTGAGTTCAATGATCACATGTTTGTTATTCAATCATGCTTAAGTAGAATTCTTTTTTTTGTAATGGATTGTTAAGGAATGCTGCACCTACTTGTGTTAATAGATATCTTTAACAGGTTACTTTTACATGGTGAATTCACCAGTAACTGATTCACTTTTTCCAGAGGGATTTTAATGAATTATAATGGTATGGTTCAATTGTATTCACTAACGGTATACACTCATGGAGCACCAATGGATTGATGATGGATGGATGAGAATGTAGTCAGGTCAGTTAGCCTGTTGTACTGAATCAACTATGATGGATTCTTTTAGGGACTATGTTGATGTCCAGCTGGCAGGGTTTAATGCTAGCACTGGGTTTTTTACAATTCATTCTCCATAAAATTCAAACACGATCGAAATTACAATTGCCTGAGCCAAAGTTTGAACTCCTAGCAGTGCCATCAGACTAAAGTTTTATCTTTAGTTATATCGTTATCATATTTAGCTGCTTTATAACTACTTATGCTTTGGGTTTGGAGTGCAATCTTCATTTTCCCACTATTGTTTGGTGAATCTGTAAAAGCCAGTTCTGGCCAGCATTAGAATAGTTTGAAAAAAATAATTGGAATGGGTAGCCCCATTACTGAAAATCCCTTACCCTGTTGTCTCCTTTGCTGGATCTAAATTATATGCATCCTACTATAATGTTTAGATTTACAAAAAACTCTATAATTTCAAAACTTCCATTAAAAGATTTCAGTTACTACGACTATTGAAGTAATAAATATTAATTTGCAGGTAATTTTGCAAGATCACTCATAATGCTAAAATCTGCGAAGACACTAAAAATTAAGTTAACTAAGAAACATTGTCCATGTCTTACATTAGATATTGAAGTGGTATGTACTATAAAGTAGAAGATTATTAATATTTTTAAATTGCCTATATCACATAGTAGGAACTACATGTTACCTGATTTTTTTTATAGGTAGAAGATATCCTATGTTCTTTTGGTACAAATTATTCTTCCATTTTCATTAAGCCATTTAGTTGTGAGGTCAATAAAGAAACAGATATAAAATTAGTATCTTCTTCTTCATCATCAGCTTGGGGTAACCCACCATTAGGCATATGCATTTGATCCATTTCCACACTGCATGGTTCATGACCTATCAGTGTCAAAGTGGTGGTTACTTGTCCCCAGAACAGCTGATTGGTGGTTGTCTATTTTATTTTATTTATTTATTAAAACTTTAATGCACAAATAGAGGTGCATATGGCGGACTTAACACCTAGAGGCATTTTCTCCCCGTCAACCATAGGGCAAACAGAGATTCATGTGGATTCAGAGATTCATCTATTAACATTAGTATATGTATATGAATATTAAAAAAAATTATCTAACTTCAAATATACAATATGTATTTATTTAATTGTAAATAAGAAATAACTTCTGATTTAAACTTACAGCCTTCAGCTTGTTCTCAACAGACTCGACAAGTAACACATGATATCCCAGTTGTAGTTATACCAAGGAAGATGTGGTCAGATTTCCATGAACCCAGAACTCCTCAACCAGATGTAAGTTAAAATTAGCCACTTATCTCGTTTTTTATTTTATTGTCCAGATCAGTTTTACTTGTGATCAGATATGAAAGAAGACTGTTGTTCTTATAAGATTTCTGCTATATGTTATACCTATACAGCATTGGATGCTAGCAGTGGATGACCGATCATCATGGAGATTTTTGGGGGAGCCCTTTGTTCAGCTGTGTGTATCTTTCAGGCTGAAATAAGGATGATGATGATGATGTATACTGATTTACTGTAGTGCTAACAGTATTACTTTTAGAATTCTTTTATATTGTTTTTTAAAAAATTCTAATGATTATATATGATTATTTCAATAGGTATCCATAGAACTGCCAGCACTCAAACAACTCCGTACAACCATTGATCGTATGAAAACAATGGCAGCCGAGGTGGTGATACGAGCGTCGGCGGAAGGTAGACTTACATTACAAATCAAGACTGACATGGCCAAAGTGTCTACGAGGTTCAAAGACTTGCGAGTTGAAGCTTATGGAGGTTTGTAATAATATTATTATTTAGTGTTTGTTGCAAAATGTATTTTTTGTGGATTTATGCCATTTCTTTGATTTTCTTTAATGATTTAATGATGATAATGGAATTGTGCTTCCGCCTACGGTAACTGTATACGCTGGTGGGGCACCAGTCGAGGATGATAAAATAAAAATGAGGTCAGGTCAGTTAGTCCATCATGACAAATTCCCCAGGGATTTATCATGTATCATCCATTGGTTTGTTTCTTATTCCAATTACATTTTTAAAAATACAATATCAGTCTATGGGGGGAGAGGATTGTTAGTAATGGGGAACAGTGACATCCAGTGCTAGGAATTTACCATGTTACGTTGACCTCCACGCGGTCATCCTGGAAACCATCGTAATTAATTTCTAGCTAGTGAACTACGCCACGATGGGCGAACTGACCCGATCGCATACTCATTATCATCCTCATTCAACATTCCATAATCATCATTAGCTATACTGCCATACAGTTTCTAAGTTCATACAATCACAAATTGTTTACGAAAATGATTTAAGACCTGTATATTATTGCGGCTTAATAAATTTCTTTTTTTTTTCAGGTCCAATAGACCATTCAGACTCAGAAAGCGAAACTCAAAGGAATGAAGACATGTCAAAAGTGTGCCACTGTCGGGTGGATGCAAAGAAATTATCAATGTTTCTCAGTGCAGACTCCATATCACACAACCGTACAGTATGTAGTATAGTGCACAAGAAGTTAGCAATATTATGTTTACAGACTGAAGAGAATGTTAAATTGCAGTGTTTTATTACAGGTATTGTGTATTGATTAATCTTATTACTTAAAGGATTTATATTTAAAGTGTGAACTATTCCGCAACCAAACTGTATATCCGAACTCTATTCAATGCCCATTTCCGTATTTGATCACCAATAGAGGTCGTAATGTTTTCAGTAGCGATGTCAATACGAGTCGGGTCTCCCGTATTGACTATTTGTAGTCTCACACATGCGACCTATGGTGGCGAAAATAACACCTAAATTGATGGATTGCATCTGCCGGTGAAATCGTCCGGGTGATATGGAAATGGACTGAAATTTAAGTGACCTATGCTTATCTTTAGAAATAACATTAAAGATATGTATTAAAACTGATGTCTATACTTCTGAATATTATTGGTACATTGGGTAGTCATTTTGTCCTTTGAGAAATTATAAAAATTCTCACACAAAATTTCATCTAGTTTTATAGTCACGCCAAAAAGTAATTGTTAACGTTAATTGCCCACCTGATGGTAAATGGTGATCATCGCTTATGAACAGTCCATTTCTGTCTAAATGTGCCAATTTTAGATCTGATTTATCAGTCCAATTATAGACGTCTTCCGACTCCGAAACCTAGTCACTATTTATAATTAATCTGGAAGAACATTGCGAAAATATGTGTGCTCTGAAAGTTTTATTATGTATGTTAAAAGAAAATACATATACTTATTGAGAATTGTCATACCTAGCTTGGGGACTAGATGATGCCGTGTGAATTGTACTAGGTTATTATTCTTAATTTTGGGCAGATATAAGCGTTTGTTAATGATACACGTTATATATTTTTGCAAAAATAAATAATACCATAATACAAAAAAATCTTTTATTTCACTGACAATAATCAACTGTATAATTATTATTTTTTAATTACTTGCTATTAAAAGGCTTGTATTATTATTGATAACGTTTTAAAATAATAATAATACAAGTTTACTATACACTAAATGTCAAATTAGATATTTTTGTAAAATTCATAACAAGTATTTTATTACTTACACACTGACTTACATACTCACCTACTGAAAAAGTTTTTCTTTTCTAATAATTATTGATACGGAAAAATAAAAAGATACAAGGAAATTCGTGAAAAATATCTGACTAAAGGTAGATATACTGTTGTGGCTTCAAATCAATTCTCTAACATTACAAATCGCTAATTATATGTTAACTGGAAGGATCTTTCGTTGTCCCTCCGAAGTGTGTCGTGTGTGGCCTTAAGTTGATCCAGTTTCGTGGATATCTGTGCTATGGAGTTATCTATCCATTGCATTGAAGACATGTGCGCGTTGAGAATCCGTCCTATTTGCACAATCTGAAAATAAAAGACATTAAATTGTCTCATTATATAACAATATAACTTCAACAATGAAGTTCCAATAAATATATCAATGAATAAAATTACCAATGACCTTTTTTTCTTCGGCCATTCAATTTATCTAATTTCCAGATGATTTTTAATGCTTTTACTTGAGACGACCCCATATATTGAATATATATATCATCATTACATAGTGTTCGCGCCATTTATAAACATCGAGTGGTATGGTATTATTCCCAATATCCTCATCCCTTTCCCGCGCACAGTATGTAAACTGAGGTCCCACGACCTCGACCTCGACTATTAACGGTTAAGACGTAATGGTGATATCTCGTCCCGATCGCTCCGCTTTACATTCATTACTATAATATATTGATATTAAAATAAGTAACTTTGTATGCGTGCCTGCGTTTAACTTAGTATTCATCGAGTGCAGCAGCTGTGCAAGATTATACTTACTGGATCATTACTATCTTGACTTCTGTTTGTTTCATTCAAATGTTCAATGACTTCCTTCAGATCTTCAGACATTTGACGCAGTTGCGTGTCTAGACTTTCAGCTAATGTATACCTGTACAAAACGTAACACATATTAAAAAAAATGTCATCAATGTAATAATTGAAAGGTGTAAATATGTACAAACTACTGCTGTGAATTTACGTCACAAACAGTTGCTATAATTATTTTAGTAAAGGTACTAATAATATTTATGATTGCTATATTGAATGGATTGAAGCAAGAATTCAATCTCGATCATCATTTACCGACGGATCCATTTGCTAAGAAAAAAAAAAAATAAATAAATATAATCACAGCAACACAAATATGGTTCTAAATTAATAATTGTTAATTGTTTAATATTAATAACACAAGTTATAACTCACACTTTATAATTTCTATATTTAATAATCCAAAATGATCCAGAATTACTTTAGACACTTAAAATATTTTATTAAATTCAAGTACTAACATGTGCTCTCTTTCTGGATCCCTAAGTCTGTCCCCTGAATCTTCTAGCAGTTGCTTCTCTAGTGGTGCTAATAAATCTTCCAATTCTTTTTGTTGTGCTAGAACGAAGTCCAACTCGTGCTCTAAGCTCTGTTGCTCATTCTTTACAGTTTGCACTGCGTCATTCAGTTCCACTATCTGAAAAGAACAATTTATACTAATACAATAAATATCATAATATCTAAAGTTTTCATTTCATTTAGAAAATTCTTTTAGTGTTGGATAGCCTATTTATAGAGAAAAGAATTTAGGATTTGAACTTCACGCTACGATCAATTGGACCGGACCCGCAATGAAATATCGTCTGGGTGTTTTATATTATATAATATGTATTTTTCTATTATATGATATGCATTAGATTAATAACACTTTGATCCCGATTCTAATTTATAGTTGCATACCTTCTCTCCATTGGCAATAAGTAGTCTGTCCCAAGCATTAATCTGGGTCGCTTGGTTGATGAATGTTTTCTCTTGTTCCTCCAATTCTATCGTCCATTTGTTGATGTTTTCTTCGAGTTGAGCAAAATTTATTGATGATATTTGGGCAGGTGGTGCCAGTGCTGTTGTTCTGTATACAATTTACATATAGAAACTTAATGGAAATGATATATATATATATATATATAGCGCACTTAAGAGTATATATCGACTTACATATGCACTTATGACTATATATTATAGGGAGGAAGAGGATAGTTAGTGATGTGAATGTAGTTGCCCCTGGCAACTATTGTGATAAATTCATGGTGAATTTCCCACGATGGGTTAACTGACCAGACCTCATGCTCATCTTATTCTCCGCTGGTGCCCCGCCAGCGTACATCATTAACGCAGACGGGAGCACTATTCCATTATACCAGTAAAAAAATATAATACTGCATATAAAAACTCACGTAGTGACTGTTGTTAATGAAGGCATAACTGTTGATGTTGTAGTTTTACCCAACGCTGTTATTCCGGAGGGTGCAGTGGTTGATGCTGAAAAAAAAAAACATGTGCTGATATTCAATATATGTATAATTGTAATAGAGCTGACGATGCACCCGATGATAAGTAGCAATAGCCGCCTATATACATGAATAGCACTAAGAATTATTTTTATTTTATATAATGTTTCTTTTTATTTTATTATGATTTAGCATACAACCCTAAATTTTCTCATTTCTAGCATCAACCCTAATTTATAATAGCGATTTTAATTTATATGGCAAAACAACGTTTGCGGGATCAGCTAGTGTTATAAAATTGTTATTATTAATATTATGTTATTCATTCCATAACCTGCCATTAATTAATATAAATATTAAAAAGATTTTTTGCGTGTTGAATAGACAATGTCAGGACTACCATCACAATTTGTATAATTATCAGATTTATTGCAATAAATAATTTAATTTAATTTCAAAAACTTTCAACAAAAACCCTGGGTAAATAGGTGATTAGTGACCGAAATAGGTAGACCAGGAATTCCTGAGTCGCAGACCTCGTACTTATAAAATTTACCTAGACAGAAGACGTCACTTACGTTATATTACAACATTATTAAAAATACATTAACTTCATTCAAAATTATTTGTTTTAATGCTATTTATTATTAGGAGACCAGTTTCTGTACATAGTCTTCAGGCGCATATAAAGAATATTTTTTAAATACTCTATTTTATTTAAATATACTGAAACTAAATGTGAAATACCAAAGTGACATTAATGTCAATTTCACATTAAAATTCAACATCAAAATTTCGAATATAGTAAGGTTGTATAGATGTATTAATAGTTGAATTTACACTTACGGTCTTTCACGCACGAAAGTCATCAAGTCAAGTTAAATCATACAAGTAACTAATAATAATAATGTCTAAATATTACGGTCAACTCAGCTATTAAATTATTATTAAAATATCCCAGTTATATAATGTGTACAATTGTGCCTGTATATAGCCTATGACTATGATCTGTTAATGAACACTGAATTCTACATACCCACTGACGCAGCAGCTGTAGTTACAGATTTTGTTCCAAAACTAAGCCCGGCGCTAGTGCTAGCTGCGCCGAAATTAAGACCACTTGTAACTTGAGTAGTTGCTGCTGTTGATGTACCAAAACTCAGCCCTGTAGTTGCTTGAGAACTTGTAGCTGGTGTGGTGCCAAAACTAAGCCCAGTTGTAGCAAGTCCTGTTGAAGTCTGTGCTGTTGTTTGGGCACTAAAATTGAGTCCTGTACTACTAATAGGAGCCGCGGATGTCGTCCCAAAACTAAGGCCGGCAGCAGCTTGACTAGATGTTGTGGTAGTACCAAAACTCAGCACAGTTGATTGACTCGTCGAAGCTGGTGTCGTTCCGAAACTAAGCGTTGGTTGGGCAGTCGTTGCGACCGTTGTACCAAAACTAAGCACAGTTCCAGGTGTTTGGAAACTGGAGGTTGTAGTTCCGAAAGTGGGAGCTATGGTACCAAAAGTGGGGGCAGCTGTAGACGCTTGCGTGGTTGCAAAGCTCAAGCCAGTTCCGAAGCTGGTCTGTTGGGGTTGTTGGGGTTGTTGTGGCTGTTGGGGTGGTTGGGGTTGTTGAGCCGGGGGAGTTGCGAAGGAAAGACTGGGCGCCTGTGCGGCAGGTTGAGTGGCAGCTGGTTGGCTGGTTAAAGAGAACGCTGGGGTTGTCGAACCAAACGCCGGTGCTGAAAAAAACAACCAATACATATTAATATTACAAAGAGGTAAAATATTAAGGATAATCTAGACTAAACCAAAACTCTCCGAACAAATCAAAACAAACATTTCGAAATTAGTTTCAGGGTACACAACTGAATAATACATATATTTACAATATCTCACTTGATTTATTCTCGTACATTCCAATTACACAGTGTACTGAAAATTATTATTATTATTATTATAAATTGAAATAAAAGTAGAAATAGTAATGTAGATAGTTACACCTTACCGTGGTCTTGCGAGTAACTGAACTACCGTAATTGTGTTCGAGTACAAGAAAACTTATCAAAATAAAGCCAGTGTGCCAACGAATCAAAAGAGTCACTAACTCACAGTTTTATGACTCTTTTTTTGAATACATATTTCTTATTTACCTAATTATCAAAAATTAGCAGGATATAAATTTATAATTATAATTTTCTAAAATACTATACTGAATAATAATTATTAAACTGCATGTTATTAAAAATATTTTACATTTAAGTTTCGAACGCTAGGCAGTCAATTGAGTGAACTAATTTTGGTTTTAAAATATAGTAACTAATTGAGTGCATTAAGGCACTCAATTAGTTACTATATTCTGTTATAAAATTTAAGTAGACCATTAAGTAATGCTTCTAATAATCACCAAATAACTACATAATGTATTGAAATTATACGGATTTAATCAAAGTTTACCTAACACTTAAAAGTAACTATCATATTTTTAAGATGGAACAATTTCTAAATTATAATTACACGAGAAATATTAGTCAGTCAATTGAGTGTCTTATTTTCTGTTTGTAAATTATTAATTTATAAGATTAAAGATATCTTTTTTTTTACTATTTTAATTTTATTTTACTATAATATATTAAGAAATAGCATTTAATAAATTTATAGATACCATAATTTATTTTCATAAGTTTAATGACGGGACATGGAACAGACACGCACAGAATGAGAAATTTCTAAATCATACTAGGGCTGATATATGATATATATGTATCCTAATATTGCTATATGTACGCTATATTCAATTTGGAGAATTCATTGATTGTAATTGTAGATTAGACTAGCTATATTTTTTTTACTGTATTTAGTATACATTATACGTGCTACTATGTCTACGTCACGTTAAATTTTCTAATATACTCCGCTCCTATTAGTTGTATTGTATATATGGATGGTATATAGTTTATAGCTATTTTCCTTGATAAACCGATGCGCATTCATCCATAAAAACTGTTCAGCTTTATAATACTAATATAGATATGCCCTAATTTTCTCTAAAAGTCAGCCGGTATAGAAAAATCAATACCTTGAAATGGGACTTCAAAACTGAAATGATAGTATCATAGTTCTCTGGAATGCAAACACATTAGTGGTATCACGGGGATCACATGAGTACTTAATGCTGCTCGACTGCTAATATATACAATCGACAGTTACCACTTACCATCAGGTGGGCCGACAGCCTGGTCCCCTTTTCATAATACAAAATAAACTGACTCACCTGCAGCGGTAGTCGTCGCGGCACCAAACGCTGGTGTAGTGGTACCACCACCAAATGAGAAGGCCGAGGGTTTGGCTCCAAAACCAGATGCCTGACCGAAAGCAGACGGGGCTGGTGTAGAGCCAAAGTTAGTTGCCGTTGTCGTGGATGCGAGGAAACCAGGTTGGGTTGTTTGTGGTGCTGTCGATGTTGTTGACTGCAAATAAATAAAATGAAAAGTCTTTTAGACCTGTGATTTTCTTTCTTTAAGATTAATTATATTATAATAATAATCACAGCGCCGTGCTATGGGTAATGAAAAATTTACTTAAATACATTTTTTTTCTAGACATACAAACAATCATACCCATGTAAGTGTAAATAAATAAGTGTTACGTATCTACCTATATTTGACATATAATATAATTTTTAAATGTGAATTCATTAATTCTATTGTATAATTTGTATATTACTAAAATACATGCCATTGCCATACAATGCCAAAACCATAGCGAAATATGCAGACAATTTTATGAATACTGACATTCTTTTAATGTTTATACCATATTTCATGCAAATAAATACATTTAATTTCATTTCATGAATACAAATGTTTGCAACGTCCGAGGAAACAAACCCGCGACTGTCTTATGTAAAATGGTGTGATAAACCACTAGACCGCCGAGGTAGTCATTATATTATTTATAGCAATACTGACCGTGGCTGCTTGTTGTGGCGCCGAAAATCCAGATGTAGGCGTCGAAAAGTTTATTGCAGCCGGCTTCCCGAACGAGAATGAACCCGATCCGAAAGAAGTATTCGTTGGTGCTGCTAAAATGGACAAATATATAGCAAGTATAAGAAAATGCATTAACTCAAGATAATAATTATAGAACAATCGACTTTAGAGATTTGAAAATTAAAGTGGATTTCCTTAACTTTTTTTTAAAATTCATACACTTTATTATGTTTTACGAAACTTTAATATTACAACAAAATTATATTCAAATAAAATATGAAACAATATAGCAGTAACATATATAAATTTGGTAATAGAAAATTACGGTAACAATTTACCTTGAGTCGCCGCCTGTGGTTGTTGGGACCCAAAAGACAGATTCTGTGGTGCACTCTTAAAAAAAAACAATAGTTTTATGCAAATATACCCAGATGAACATCATTCCATAAAAAGGAGTACCTAATAGCCAAAATGAGAGATATTTGGAAACATCGACTGTACTTTCCAGTGAGGGGAAAGCTTATTATTATTAATGTGGACTCATGACCCCATTGCTAGCAATGTACCATGTCATTTGACCTCCACGAGGTTCCAGCTTCCATGAGGATCATGATAAATTCATGGTGAATTTACCACGATGGGATAACTGACCCACCAGATCTCATGCTCATCCTGTCTTCCTCCACTGCTGCCCCGCCAGCGTAAACCGTTAGCGCAGGCAGGTGACCCATACCATTATCATCCATTAAAAAAGTCCTTTCCAGTGCCATTGAAGGTAAAGGAGTGTAGTGCTAGATTGCCTTAGGGTGTGTACATTAGTGCGTTTTTTTATCATTAGGTAGGGTAGAATAGGATAAGGGTAGAAAAATGAGGATACCTGTGCAGCTGGCTGGCCAAAACCTGGACTGCCAACTGTTTGATTTGGTGGTGACTGAAAACCACTGAAGCTAACTGGTTTACTGGCTCCAAATGCTGGAGCTGTGCTCGCCGTTGATGGTGTAGAAACTGAAGAGAATTATTTTTATAATAATATTGCTTCTTTATTTTTTTACATGTGGCATACAGTGAGAGAGATCTCTTATTAAATTGATAGAATACAAATAATTCTGAAGAGTTTACCTGAAATATTACACTTTTTAATTGTACTATTTTGTATTAAATGTATATTTGAACACAATTTTAAAATAGTGGTAGACAAATGTCACATATTTTTTTTAGTATTAACATATTATTTCTAGTAATATTGGCTATATAATAAGATTAGATTAGAAGACAAAAATAAAGCCACTAATGCCATAAAAAATCCATGAGCTAATTAATTGCTAAGCCGCAATGAGTATCTCTGCACAAAGGTTGACTGGGAGAGAAGGCTATAACATTAAGTATACCTTTTATACCAAATTTTATTACTTACTATTTACTAAACATTATACTTACATAGTGAAGATGTGGGTGCAGTGGTTTTAGCTCCAAAGGCAAAACTCCCAAAAGCAGGCTGGTTTGTTGTTGTCTGGGCTGTTGGACTGGTAAAGCTGAATGCTGCCTTGTTTTCTATCAACAGGAGAGATTTATAAATTATACATGGTATACAAAATTTTTTCTCTTTTTCTCTCTATCTACAATCAGCAATTAGCTTATATCAGATTTGTATGTACCTTTATTCATACACCACATATGACCGAACTTTCTTTTCAATTGCAAAGATGTAAATAATTACTCAGCTACACTTACTTAAGTTATTTTAGAAACATACCAGTGTTTGTAGATCCAAATAGAGGCTTTGATGCATCACCACTTCCAAATGCAAACCCTGTTAAAAGATACTGAAATTAATAAATATCAAGAGATAATCGGTATATGTGTAGTGTATTATTTATATATTAGACAGCTTGTGAGCATGGCTAGTGCAAACTATTTAGTTGAAATGTCGAAAGGGATAAATATTTACCATAAAATTATTTCTGTTAAAACTAGATTAATTCTATTTCTAATTTATACAATGTCTCTCTGCATAGATATCTCGACCTAGGTGGTCTAGGGGTTTTGCACACCGCTTTATGACCAATGGTCACGGATTTGATTTCTCGCATGGCACAAACATTTGTATTCATGAGCATGATTGTTTGTATCGGTCTGGGTGTTTTCTATGTATAATATGTATGTATTTATAAAAAAAATATCTATGTACTTGTATCAGTTATCTAGTACCCATAACACTAGCTTTAGGTAGCTTAACTTGGGTCTAGATGGCGCTGTGTGAATTGTCCTGACATTATTATTATATCTTTGTTACCCCTATTTTTTATGTAATTGGAATGGCAAACAAGCTGCCCCTCCATTCTATGATAAATGTTGATGGTATGGCCTATAGACATGAATAGCACTACGGACATGTTTATATTATGATGCCACTCATGAGGTATCATGAGTTACCATACTGGATGACTAAGATGTCATGTCTTTTATCCTGTAATTTCACTGCCTGATCTGACCCTTTAGCAAGCTGCTTACCGGCTGGACTACGTGACAGAGATGTAAAAAAGCAGGCAACTTCATATAAAGTAAATTATGGTATATAAAATGAATTTTAATATGCATGTCATTAGTAAAGATAACCTATAAAACTGCGTAATTTTGAACAAACATGTCTTAGTTCAATCTAATTATGTATTAAAAATATTCTTGAAAAATGTTGATAAGTAAAAAAGACAGTAAGATTTAAAGAATATATTCGTATTTACCGGTACTTGGAGTGGCTGTACCGAAAGTACCGCCAGAGGTTGTTGCCGTTGAACCAAAGCTGAAACTCATTGTTATTTATAAAAGTACTTCTCTAATTTTTAAATAGACGACGCAAATATTGTTTAATCACTCATTAAAATCATTAAAATTATCTGAAGAACTTATTTTAATATAATATTCAAGTTATAAGGATAAAATTTACACAAACAAAACAAATGTCATTTCACGAATGCTCTAGTAGCGCCATCTGTCCATGACTGAATTTAAATTTGTTGCCAGTTTAGTTAATACATTTACCATTATTAAAAATAAAATGTATTTTTAAGTTGCTTTTGTTTGTCACATCGTATGCTATATAAGCAAGCACAATTAAGAAAATACTTGATTTTTTTTTTACTGTAATAGAAATAATATATATTTATTTAGCATGAGTAAATAACCACTACGTTTATCATTATAATAATATGTAGAGACTTAGATAAGTCAGATATACCAACATTAGTTTCAATCCTGTCCCATTCTGTGATATTTTTTTGAAACATATTAATGACTAAATGGAATAAATCGATAACAATGACAGGTATTTTTTTCATTGACCACTAAACGTTAAATTCACACGTATTATGTATGTGCATTTAAATATCATTGGATGGAATCAGTTTCGGAAGCATATCGGGGGCTCACAGATAAAATTTAATAATTTTATAAGCTAAATGTTCATAGTATACTTCATAAAGATAATAATAATTACACTACAGATAAATTATGTAGGTACCTAATGACATTATAGATAGCAGTAAGTAATGGAAGGATCTTTTAAAGGCTACCTACATTCAAAATGCAATTTTAATATTTGTTTAGTAACCTAGGATGTATTTGAAACAATTTTCTTGTAACACTCATTCTTTAAACTCCATTAACTTTAGGTTTCACGGCGAACAAGTTTTTATTTATATTATATATTTCAACAGCAGCCCCCGTTAAGGTGTTCTTTAAACTTTATCTATTTGCTCGACTCCTAAGGGTCTTAGGGACAATAGCCTAAGTGTAATAAAACCTCCTAAAAAGTTAGTCAATTAAAAAAATATTTCAAATTTCTGAGATAAATGTTTTCAAACAAACAACTTCACAATATTATATTTTAACTATTAGATAAGTTAATATATCTGATCAGGCTAACAATCTATATTCATTCAGTCAATCTATATAAAAGCGTGTTTGTACGTAACTACTGGCCATAAAACCAGTTTAAACACCCAAAATCTAGGCCTGGCGCTGCGCCAGACCTCGCAGCGATAGTAGCAAATCATCCCTAGTGCCTATTCTATGTAAACGACGTGTAAACAAGCCAGATTGTAAAGAACGAGTGTTGGATTTATAGTTAAGTCTAATTGTTCGAGAATACTACGCCGGTTACCTCGGTATAGTACTCCATGTTGCGGTACGATATAGATGTAAATGTTTGCATTGTATATTCGACCATAGAAAATCAAGCGGCGTTCTAAAGCGCTGGACTGACGAGGCTTTTAAAAATGACACATAAATTATAAAACTTTATTCAGATAAGTATAAAGTCTTATGATATATTTATTTTATGCTTTTGTCTCTGTTAGTGTTGACCGAGATAGATTTTGTACAAAGTAGTCTGCGTGAGTAGGTTCCTCACATATTTCTTTGAAGCAGCTTTGCTTTGTAATCTATGTTTGACAGTTATCATACGATATACGGTCGTAATTACTGAATATGGTGATTTTTATATAAATGGTAATGGAATGGTGCTAACGGTTTACGATATCGGAGCACCAGTGCAGGATGGATAAGATGAACATGAGGTTAGGTCAGTTAACCTATTGTAACAAATTATCCGGAACTTTTCACAAGGGTGCATTACTAACAGTGGGTTTTATAGTCCACATTACTAGTAATCCCCTTTTTTCCACATCTATCGAGGTATTACATGTTAGTCAGGAATGATGTCGTAAGCAGACATTCCACGGCAGGTAATAGAAAAAAATAGGTAAGTACAGTTTGACGCTATCGGCTTTGGTATGATTTGGACTTGCTTTGTTTATGCAACTACTATCCAGTTCAATTAAACAGCAGGTATTTGTAGCCGCAAAATGTTTGAACGTTTGCAGTTGTTAGTTGTTCATGTAGACAATTCAGGATACAAATTTTATTAGGGTAGACAATTATTTATTAAAAATATAGCCATTAATAAATAATTGTCTACCCAACATCATTATGTATGAGCACTTTTATTTAAGACACTGGTTATAATTAAACAATGTTATATCTAGGCCTAGGCACGAAAGGCACTGGATTAGCGTCTGGCGAGAGGAGTAGTCTAACATTCACGTTGGCCCTCCTCCATCTGTTCCACATAACATAATGGTCCTTCCACAGTAGGTAGACGGTAACTGAATAACCACAGAGCACTATCGCCATGAAAAAGTCCATTGCTGTTTCTGTGATCCTGTGTGAAATGCCTGCGAAAAAAAACGTGATTAAACAATAATAAATATGTAGAAAAACCTTCATATCAGTTTTAAAATAGTAGGTTTATATCTGCTTTGTCCTTTTAGGACCGGCGTAATATGTTTGTCTCTTTCATTCATTCCTGTTCGTAGTCATTTCGTCATTAAATAATTTCTTGCCATATTATGTTTCACACAGTCCATTTCTTTTTCCGTCTTCCTCTAAGGGTACAGGGAGTTACTAGGAAGGAACTATCCATATTAATAATGTTACACTCATTCAAATATTCTCTCTATTCGTACCCATTGGATGCCCATACCACAGATAATATAATATTACATCCCATACCAAGACAATGGATTACTCTTCAACTTCATACTTCTACGACACTGGCGCTACTTTCATACATTTATTATGTCAATATGGTTATTCCAGATGAGGTAGTCAGAAGCATTGTCAACTATATGGTGTTTTACAGATAGAATAATGGAGGAATCTAGGGAATTGTTTGACGTAACTACTGTAACGTTCTATCAAAACGCTGTTCGCCATTAACAATAAATTCATCCTCACAATCCTCTATAGAACCTAATTGCCAATGAATGGTGCCCTTCCAGATGAGTCACCTCTTACACTCAGATTGTAGCATGAACTATTTTGCTGAGGTTTTCTCTAGAGACTACAGCTTGAGATTTTTCATAAAAGAAACACTAAGTTTGCTCAAGGGTTAGCAACACGCACACACCCCCGGTGTTTCAGGCAACTGACAGTAAACGTTTACCACAGCCACAGATAAGATAATATTACATAGCACAGCTAACCGTTAACTCGATAAATGTGCTATCTATTACTAAAAGATTTTTTCTAATTATATAAAAAAATTGTTTTATTCCATTCAAACATCGCTCTTACACAAACGTAATAAAAAGCAATAAAGCAAAATTGAAGGTCAGAAGAATATTAAAAAGAAGCCTTCCTTCAAGAACAATATTATGATTAAAATAAAGTCCTGAAACAAAAGTTGGCCGTTTTAATTATAAGAATTCAGAGCTAAGATGATGTTGGTATTTTTAATTATCTCTACATTGTACCGACATTTTGTAGTGAAATAAAAAAGTTATTTGAACCTCAAGTGCTCTCGTGAATCCATAATAAAAATGCTAGTATCATTCGACATTATTATCCAACACAATCAAATATCACTGAAATTAAATAAAATAGGTATAAACATAAAGCGACGAAATGTATACCTATATTAAAGAGAGAGTACGAATTTTGTGAAATTGAACTCTTTTCTTTCCCTAACAGTTATGGTGTGAAGATGAATAGATTACAAATATCCTGTCTTACTTTACTGCCACTACAATACAGTTGCCTCTATGTATAATCGTATAGTATACATAAGTAAAATTGTATTATGTATAATACATTATGTGTAAACAATATTAATTTAGAACTAAATAGTGTTATTGATATTTCAAGAATAATATTATAACATGTACATATTTGTTATCTATATCAAAAGGCTAATGAAAATTTTATGTGCAACTAAAATTATTCAGTTCGCATGTAATCCTCTTGTGACGATATTGTCGAACTCCTTTCTTTATGGGTGACATTAAATTCGTCGAGAAGTTTCGTCATAAACAAGACATGACAACATTTGTCGTATTGTTAGCATTTACTTCTGTAATTATTTTAATTGCCCAAAGAAAATTTAATCAAGAACCGGCAGGAAAATTCTTTTCTCCTTTTACTGGTATTAGGTATTCGGTGGTTTTGTGCTCCTTGTGATAAATCGAGCCTATTAATTTAAATTCCTTTGCCATTACTGTAATGACAAAAAAACGAATGGTTAAAACTCAATTTACGTTACAATTGAACAACGGTTTCACGTGTAAACATTTATTTTGTTACTGGGTCATTAGTAACGTTCCCGGATAATAAGCGAGTGTTACGACAGTACCTACAAGTACTCAGAGAGCGAGATAATTCCCGACTAACACCCCAGATTCACGTGGATACAATTATAAAGAAGTAATCTTTTATAATAAACCACAGCAAAATTATTCAGTGGTAAATTAGCAATGTGTATATAAAAATGATTAAATATTTATAATTTATTTAATAATATATATATATATATATCAGTTAGGCATATGTTGCATTGCATTAAAAAGAAAACAAAGTAAATTCGTATTCTGAGTGATGTAGTTTCTGGGTCAGTTAATAACGATAGTACTAATTAATCAAATTCAAAATATCTTTATTTATGTAGGTCTATTACAGTCACTTATACAGATCGTACATTAAACTTGTCATACACAGTTTAATGTACGACCTATATGTGTGATAGTGTAATGTCCCCTTAAGTAATAGGTAACATAGCTAGGAAAACAAACCTAAATTGTAATCTTACATGACAAAGACTATAAACATAATAAAATAAAATTCCGAATTAATGGCCAATTCATGCGTATTCTTTGTTTCACTGTCTTATCTCGACATTTTAACGTTAAGTCAAACTGCCTGGCGACTGGGGTTGATGCAGCCGTTTTTAGCAGTCTATCTCTTTGCCTGTTCCTCACGCTTGAAAAATCACAATAGGTATTTTTAGATACATATATATGTATTTAAATAGTCTAAAAAATGAAATAAAAAAAATATATAACACACCTTCCTCTTTTCTAGCACCTGCAGCTAGCTTACCAAATTTGTTGCCCTCGATTACAAAGTACTGTGTGCCAACGATGCATACCGCGAGTAGGCCAGCTGTTACGGTGGATAGGAGCCAGAATATGAGGCAGTCCGACTGTGAACAAAAATTAGCCTTATTTATATACGGAATTTGATTCAAATCGCTGCAATGCTGCTTTAAGACGGACCCAAAGGTACATGTGTAATGTATCTCATGTAATCTAGCCCATATGTGCCTACTGTGGAATGTAGTAAATAAATATAATAATATTTAGTATGTCGATCTTATTTAGTACCTCCACTTATATTCTAGATCTTTAAGTTTATGAGTTTAAGTTTAACCTATCCTATGAGACTTCATATGTCAAATAAATAGTTACGAGTTCTAGTTTACTAAATGGTGTAACTTCATATTTCAAATAAAATTTACTACTAACTCCTTAATAATCTATAGCACTTATAGTAAATTAAAGTTCCTTACAGATTAATAAAATTTATTAAATCCATATCCATATTATCCAGTCCAGTCTTCTCATGCCATGCCAGCCAGATGTCATGATATGCATGACATCTTAGGTGAAATAGGGTATGAGAGTATCAATAATTTTCCAAGGGATAAAAACTCATCATAACAATAAAAAAGTACTCATAAGTCTAAAATGTAAGAGGGTGAGGGCATCGCTTAGTTAAGTATATGCATTAAAGGACTTTTATTTCTCTGGTGATGTATGTTTTCATTGGAGTTAACTACAATTCTGTCAAAGATTAATGTTATCGTCCAAAAGACAGATGTGAGTACTTCAAGAGTAAAACAATCTTAATAGCTAGATTTATTTATAAGTTAGGACTATGGATTTAGTTTGACAGTGTTGTATTACAAGAATATATCACCATATCTCGTCTGATAAGAATACTAGCTTTAAACGTATGTCTGTTCGTATTACATGCTTTTTAATCAAATATTCAACAAAGATTTCTGTTTAGCGCAATCTATGTCTATTCCGAACTGATATTGATGTTTCTTTTAGTAATCCAAAAAGTTTAACATATTGTAGGTATAAGATCTAAATATTTTATTGTAACGTTTGTTTGGTTTAAATTAAATTGTAGTATTAATATTTACAGCAAAAGAAACACTTTTTTTATTAAAACGTTTGTATTTCAAAGATATGTGAGATCGATGTGTGATACTGAATTTATATATGTACTATATGATACTTCTTTATATTTTATTTGAGCAATCAAAACTCTGTGCATACAGTGCATTCATATGACTAATTTATATGCTTGATGCAAGTGTTTCTGACCATCTTTTCGCATCACGTCTAAGTGATCTAGTCGCTCTGTCGCAATAGGCATAACCTAAAATTCTACTATACAATAGAAATAAATAAAATTCAGAAAAAATATCAACATGTCACATCAATATGAAATTATCTTGAGTAAGCTAATATAAGCGTCGACGCGTGAACCATACTAGCTCAATAAGTGACAGGCAATGGACAGAAATCCAATATGCGCGTGTCGCCTCATGTCAAGTGACGAGTCAGCCATCTTGGGTTGCGGTCGCCGCGACCTTTGCGGTAGTCCTGCGCATAACAGTTCGCGGGTCGGAGCGCTCAGCTTCTAGTTCGTTCGCTCCCAACCTATAAGTTTTGGTTAGGCTCCATTGTAATGTAGCATGTTAAGTCGACCACTAGAAGTCGTTGTAGTTATAGATTGGGCTAAGTTACCTAGATGAGGATCCTATTATCCACTGATGCCCCACCAACGGAACTGAGTGCACTCTTCCATTATCATACATTAAAAAAAAACTGTGCGCCTATAATATTAAGTTCTTTTCTTTTTAGATTGTCAATACCAAGTATTTTAAGCATGATCTATATTTTTTTTATCTAAGGAATAAATTGCATAGGATAGGATAGAACTAGTTCGTATAGTCGAGCTGATTCGAACTAGTTCATTGACGAACTACACAACTCTACTCTGCGGTCACCGCCGTGAAATATTGTTTCGTAGGCTAGAGGCGCTGCAATTTCAGATGCGATAATCTATTTTAGTGGTTGTTTTGAAGAGATGACATGATATATGATAGTAATAAAATTACCGAATATATTTTTATTTATAGAATAGCACTGTCTTTAGTGCTGCCAATGTGTTTAGAGGAACAAAAGAGTCAGAAAGTAACATTGAAGAAGTCCCAATAAAAAACGAAACAGTAAAACTGATGTTTGATACAAAAAAATATAAAGGAAGCTGCTTAGCGATTGAAATAGGTAAGTCATATGCGTATCAGATTTTTGACAACGTTATACTATTCACAAACTCAGCAAAAAGTCAAATGTTATTAAAAATTTATGCAAAGCACTTTTGTATTCATAACATCGATGCAACTTTAGCAACTGAAAGGTGTATACGTGAAACTTGATGTAATTATTCCCGTGAAATTAATTCTGTGTCACTAGTTTCGCAATATAAATTAGGGTTACCATATTAGATCAAGCACTTATACGTTTCTTGAGAATGAAGCTCGAGTGTTGTATACAGAGGCTGACTGAACAGCAGATTGTATCTCGAGCGTGTTCATCCGTTGACGTGATATAATGTGACATGAGCATATTGAGTTTCGTGCCTATCCCTCTTTCACGTTATCACGTTGTAGCTACAAACGGAGTTATGTAATCCCACTATATAAGGGACCACTCATAAATTACATCACAGTTTAAGGTCGCCAAAGTGTGACATTCTGTGACAAGGAGTAGCGGAAGAGGTCATGCATTTTGTGAGTTTACACTTCAAATTTAAGAATTAAAGTACTATTATAATAAATTAATATGAACAAATTTAAATACTCTATAACATTTAATAAAATTGCACAATATATTATGTTTTACTAGTGAGTCCTTGTCACACTTGGTCACAACTGTGATTTGAACAGAGGGAAGGGTCAGAATAATTAAATTCGTCTAACATATGACCTCAAAGGTTAAACCATACTATTGCTCAACAACATTACATTTTGTATTAGCTTACCTAAGAGTCATAAAAATAGGGAGCAAAATAATTAAATATAAATTTCTTCATTGTTATAAGATTTTTTTTTATTTCAAACAGAAAATTCTTTGTTTTATATGTAATTATTGTTATATGTAAGTTGATTATTTAGGTTTATATACAGGAACTCTTTCCAGTGGCGCTGACCTTGTCAATTGGGATAAAAGGTACTCCACTTGTTAGTTTAGTATATGATTTATTCATGTTCTAAATTTCATCTGAATTCATTCTGTACATTTTGCGTGAAATAGTAACAAGCATCCGTCTATATATATCCCTCCTCATACACTTTTACGTTTAAAATTCTAGTACGATTCACATTTTCTACATTCGCTCAATAATTACCATAGCATATTTCTTTAAAAACAAACTCTACTAAATATATAGGTAAATAATTTACTTTAATATTAGTACACATATTAAGTATTAATTTAATATTAAGTACACTAAGTAAATATACAAACTGTTGTATTTTGAAATATTTGCGTTTGTAATAAAAGAATTAAAATATTGAACAGAAATTTTGTGTAGTGTACATTGTACATTTCATTAAGCTATTAATTACATCGTATCTAAACTAAAGCGCGGAATTAATTGACACTAATCTCGGTTATGATTAGGCTTGATCACACATTATGCGATTTAGAAGATTATCACAATATTGTAATATAGGTTACATTGTTACCACTCCGGTCTATAAATTATCAATAAAGGGTCATGTGCCCTGTAAGGCTAAATAATCTGATTTTATGCTCATCTGCATAGGCGAGTGCACCATACGATTATCATTTGGTAAAAGAAATACTGTAAGTCAAGAAGAATAAACGTAGTAGAATAGAAATAATCTTTACTCAAATAAACTTAATTTAAGCATAAGCATTTTAAATAAAAATTTTTGCCGCCACATTAAAAATCCAGATTCGCTCAAGTCAAGAAGAATAAACGTAGTCAGTAACTTGGCCAGTGGGTTGTCATAGATGTATATATTAGATTGGTTTGTTATATATTGCCATTACGGAGGAAGATTTCATTCCTCTAAACCCTTGAATATCGCTCTTCAACTGAAACATGTGTTACAATGTAAGCGGCTTGGCAGCAGAAATAGTGTGGCAGAGGTACAGACTTCACGACTTTGTACAAGATTACTTCGGCGAAAAAAAGATAAACCAAACATACTTTCCAGACTGTTAACCCAGAAGGAGACAAAGATATTGCCCACCATTGATATATGTACGTCATACGGTGGAAACAAAACCAGACATACCCAATTTGGTCAGAATATTTAACCCTTTTAAAACTGGCATGCATAATTTTAAGATAAAATTTAAAACGATTTTATAACTTCCTATTGAAAACGATTGTATTCATTTGTTCACTTAATAACTTGTTAATTTAGTACTCCTAATTTGTTTTGAAAAGTTTATTCTATCAATTTTTTAAAATTATATTTTTATAGTCTCCTTATTATACTTTAGACACATGAAATTTACCAAATCCATGGGATATAAAAAAATTATTCAGGTCTGAAAGGGTTAAATACAAAGTGGTAGGGAGCGAACCTACTATCTCTTCTTAGATTCTTTCTTAGTATAATAACGGTATTGAGGGGAAGGGGATTGTTAATAATGTGGACTGATAGCAATGGCTAGTATTATAATGGAATGGTGCACCCGTTTGCGCTAACGGTTTACGTTTGCGGGGACCAGTGGAGGATGATAAGATGAGCATGAGGTCAGGTCAGTTAGCACATCATGACAAATTCACCAGTAATTTATCACGATGGTTTCCAGGGGGAACCGCGTGGAGGTCAACCTGATATGGTACGTTGCTAGCAATGAGATCATCAGTCTACATTACTAACACTCCCCTTTCCCCCCAGCAATGGCTAGTAATGCATCATGTCAGGTTGACCGCCACGCAGTTCCCTCTGGAAACTGTTGTGATGAATTACTGGTAGATTTGCTACGATAGGCTAACTAACTTGACCTCATATTCATCTTATCATTCTCCTCCACCCCGCCAGTACTAACCATTGGTGCAATCAGGTGCACCATTCATTATTAGTTAAAAAAATAACTCTATACCTTCACCGCAGATTCAATGAGAAATATTAATAGATACACAAAGTATATTTGAAAATAAATAGACTTTTGAAATTGACATGTTTTTTAATGTATCTGAAAAAATGGCCGATTCACTGTCGTTCAGCGTGCGACAGCGTTTCCTGTTATTGATTTAGCGACATAACTCGTAAGCGATCTGTCACTTGGTGAGATAACGTCAAGTAGAGCGTGTATCGCAACTCAATTAGATATAGTCACGTGATATTACAGAACAAACGAGGCATCTCACCCTAGTGACATAACAATGTCACAGATTCCTGTTAATTACAATTTAATATAAGTACCTAATTACCGATGTAACTCAGTGCTTTATTGTTAGGTATACAACCAGATTCACGAGCAGTTTTGTATAATCTGTTAACCATATTTAAATAGAGTTATTAATTACTTATTGTTTGAGATATTCATATCTGTCATATTCTACCTTAAAAAATGTGTTATAACCATATCTATACTGTATCATATATGCTTACTGTCAGTTCTCTACTTCGACCCCAAAGAGTGCTTGCCAAGTCGACTAAGAAAAAAAATGTACTTCTGACTGATATGACAATTTGTTGATGATCCGGTGAACTATTCCATGAGACTAACAGTTATAAAGGTTTATTATTATTAAAAATTAATTGATATGTATTTGTTATACATTTGTATGTGTAATTAATTTATATAGCAAGCTGGAGTTGGTGGGGAGATCCAAATACTATTAATTAATATTTATTTGTTAATTAATGACATTTCGATCTCTCTCGCAGCTATAAATTGTCAAAAAAATTATTAATATTTTTATTCCTCCTGAAATGGAGGAATAATTAATTAACATTAATAGATTAAATAACATTTTCGAAGAGAACATTTTATTTACTTCTTCCATTGACTTATATTTTTGATGATGAAAGAAAAATCTCATATCTATCGTGAAGAGGAACTTTCTATTTATATTGCGAAACATATAACATAAAAATGCTTTTTATACAACCATTAGCTGTCATTATATTTTCCCTACATTCGCGTTAGATATTTCATATTATACAGTCTGAAATAAGGCTGTAATATGTGATTAATTTTAATGGATGACTTCAATTTTGGAGCGTCGTTACATACCAGAGGTTACTTTTACCACAGATAAGATAATATTAAATAATTTTACTGACTTGAGCGAAAAGAGCAACACGCCAGGTCTTGCTCGTTCTTTTTGTGATGAGTCTGCTTTTCGAATGAGAGATTGAAAATAAGATATATGACTATTCAAAAATGCTTATGTTAAGTTATTTGAATAATAATTTTTCCTATATCTTGTTTTTGACAAGTGCATAGTTTTGTAATAATATGTATATCTGCTTGGATACTTCAGTCTCATCTATTTCAGCCGTAAAGCATCTTGATTTGCAAGAAATGTTTCGGTTTGAATGGCACACAAGGTAACAACCACTTGATGATAAGCGGTAACTGAGATACCACGCAGAAGAGTCATTTATAGATCTCTGGTAAATCTGAGCCTTCAAAGTGGAACAGTAGCTTAGTGAGCTAGTTAGGTGGCAGATACAGCTATGACAAATAGCCTGTAGTCAACTTTTTATAAGGTTCTTTCTGCTGTAAAAAATAAGCAACATCTTTTCAATACAGTCCTACCGTTAACCCACAATTTATGTTCAAAATACAATCAATACAGGGTAATGTATCCAAAACCGTGACGTGGGCATAGCAATAAACAAACTTTTACGACATAAATGGCCTTTTAAAAGCCGGGTCGGGCGATTTTGTGTCGCCTAAAAATAGTGAAAAAAATTGAAGTACCACAAAATGTGAAGACGAATCGGCGTGCTGTTGGATGGTCGTAAATGGTCCGTGGGGAAAGACCAACGCGTATTGAAACTACTTTTTTATATTAATGTAATAAAGTGGCAAAGCAAGCTGACGGCTCGCCTGATGACAAGTAGCTACACAACCAGCAAGTAGCTATACAACCAGGTAGACATTGTACAAAGTTGTCTTAGTCTCTCCCGTACCTCCATCTCACCTATATCAGCTAACTAAGATCTAGCTTGTTAGTATATCCTCTAGTCGGAGAGTCAGATAAAGTAGTGAAATTATACTATGCTTGTGTGTCATTGCAAATACAAAAAAAAATCTTGTCACATCTACTTTAAAATACGAAACATTCTTTCAATAGTGTAAGAGATTGTTTATATACCCTACAGTTAAAACATCTGTTAAAAACTTCCTCTATAGACATAAAAAAAAATTGTGAAACAAATAAAAGAAAAAAAAGCGATAGAGTCGGCTCGCCTTTTGTTTAGTACTTTTATGTAAAGTTATTTTTTGTAAATATCTTCCTGTATACAATAAATAGTTATATTATTATAAGTAATATTAAAATACTATATAGTATACTAAAATAATATTACACACGGACAATGTGATTATTATTAAAAAAGGAATTTATCTCACCATTATTGTAATATTGAATATGAAAATTTGTACTTAAAAATTATCAAACCACACGTAGAGTTTAGAAATAAGATTGTATTGACTAATTGGTCATGGATTCGTAACTGATTGTGTATACACATACATTATAATACAACCAAGATTAAGTGAGTAAAATGAAGGAAACAACGACAGAAATCCATAGTGAATCTTATAGACATACTTTTAAGTTAGAAATTTATAAATTCAACACTTACACATACACACTTTTGTAAAAGAAATTTAGGCAAGCAGGAATAATTTATCAAATTTTGTAATAGAAGATAAACTATACGTAGTAAATAATAGGCTACGGTAAATACATTCAGTCAGGTCGGCAATTAGTTTCTTTTGGTCATTATTTTTCTAAAAATTTTATTTTAGAAAAATAAAATAAAATTCCACTACAGTTACTTCTTATTACATCAGCTACCTGCCAAAAAAAGTCCTGTCAAAATCGGTCCAGCCATTTCAGAGATTAGCCGGAACAAACAGACAAACAGACAGACACAAAAATTGTAAAAAATGTTATTTTGGTTATATTCATATGCATGCAGTAAAAAACGGTTATTTCAATATTACAAACAGACACTCCAATTATATTTATATGTATAGATTATTATTTCATATGTATGTTAGTCTATAAGATATTTATAACATGGCTCGTCACTAGTCTGAACTAAATGAACAAATGGTATAACACACCGATTTACTTGCGATGGTCGCGGATTTTCATAACTATAATTGTTCATATCTGTATCTTTTCTTTTATTTTTTGGAGGTGATTTGATTTAGTTTTATTATTGCGATTATATGCAATTTCACTAGGAATTAACGACGATCATTTGCAGGTGGGACCGCGTGGAGATTGACATAGCATGATATATTGCTAGCTATATAATCATCATTTAACATCTGATATGGCGACAACCTTTTTGCGATACCTATTAAATAAAAAAAATAAACGTTCAGCTCGATTATATGGATAACATGTAATAAAAGTCTGTTCTATAAAATAAGCGACAAATTTTAACTATCTCGAAAACGTTGCAGAAAAACAGCGTTTTCAAAGTTCACTGTTGTATTACCTTTATGGCACGTAAATGGTAACGCCGCCCTCTATAGGCGAGTCGAATGGTTCCGTGTAAATGTGCTCACCTGCAAATGGCTCCTATTCCGCGGGTTCCCAAACCATAGTCGCAATGCTTGCAGCACTGTATACCTCGGAGTACGAATTGCGGGATAACTGGAATAAAATGAAGTTCAATTGTTTAGATATTTGCAGGATTTGTTTCATATTTTGATATTGTTCATGTTTTCATATATATGATTTAAGGACCTTTATAAAAGGGTTTCAATTTAGATATGACGGCTTATAGGGATCAGTGGAAGAATCATTACTGCGCAGATCCCAAATAATGGGATAGGCAAAGCAATGATGATTAAGAATATGTAGATGGCGTATTAGGTAGGTATAGGTATAGGTTCCTAGATCGGATAGTGAGTTCAAATCTGGCTGACAATAATAAATGCCAATTTTATATTTTTTTAGTGATTCTGCGTATACATGTGATAGAAACACCAATAACAAAGGAAATAATCTGAGGGACATACTTAAGACTCCCCTTCTCCCAGGTTTGATTCAAATAGGTACATCAAAATGTGGGTATGTTTATAGACATGTAACTGATTAACTGATATGTACTGATAACAGAACGGTCAAGCAGCTTGTAAACTGTGTTTCGGTTGATAGAAAACTTGCTATTTCAATTACGTAAAAAAATATATGCTTAATATGTTTGTACTCGACAAAATGTAAAGCGAATTTATTAAATCAAATCAAAAATAATTTATTCATGTATAATATTTTAAGGTGCTTATGAACGTCAAGTTTTTTGTTTTAATATTTTTCCATACCGTCCAAGTTCAGTATACAGATTTAATTGAGAAGAACTGGGAAGAAAGATAAGTTTTTAAGCCAGTTTATTGACATTACATAATTATATAGGAGTTTATGTCTAATATTATATGAAAATCCCATGCATGAACAACTATTGCTATGCACGTTTGTCATTTAAGTAATCGTTTAGTGAGCACTAAAGCCAGTAACTTCTTTGCACATTGCATCAATACAATTATGTTAATTACAAAGTAAACTTCATTCTTCAGCCATTGTATAATCTTTTTATTGAAGTAAATTACAATTATACAAATTCCTGAACCGCAACTCAAAATTTTAATCTGCCCATAAACGGCGCGCGCTTGCTGAATGCAATTCTCAAGAATTTGTATTTATGCGCTTTAATATCTCAAGAATGTACGAGGATAGTTCTATGAAATTACAAATGGGAATTTGTGCGGTGTTACATTCGTAATAGAAGTTAAAAGCAGTTTGCACACAGTGCGGCACAACTTGCAAACTACCGTTTTGGAAATACTCGTACATAGCATTGAGAATTATAAATCTACTAGCTGTGCACGCAGTTTTATCCGCGTGTAATTTATAGCCTATGTGTTATTTTGATGTATGAACTATATTATTGTAAAGTTTCATTAAAATCGATTCAGTAGTTTTTGTGTGAAGAGATACAGACATCCATCCATCCATACTCACACTCAAGCTCTCACTAACATACATTCGCTATTATAATCATTTACTAATATAAGTAAGATATACATATGTACCTAATAAGATATAATATATAGAGAATTGGATATATATATTGAATTTATTTACATCAACAGATACACATACATATTTTACAATATAGCATAAATTAATGAAAAAAATAAGAAAGAAATATAAATATATAAATTTTCCCGAAATAAGAATAATCTATTAATATTAGAAGCACTTATATGTGGTTGCCAATTTTATAAGTTACGTTTTCACGCCTTAATGTCTTAATCAGTCAAAAAATGCGATATATAGTATCGCATTTTTTTGTAGAAGTATCTATAATAGTTGTGAATTTGATTTTATTCCTGTCATTAATTATGAAACGGACAAAGTTGCGGTTAGGAGATGGTCAGAAAACAAAATTCTTGGTACCGGTTATTAAATATTATTTATTGCACTTAAATACATTTTTTAGACATATTAATTAGAACTAATGTTAATAAAGGAGGACTTATCTCTAAAAGAGATCTCTTCCAGTCAACCCAATACAGCGTGGCATAGAAAGTCTTGAATGTTAGTTATTCATATATTCATATTATTTACGAATTACTTTTTACTAATCATTAGTAAAAAGCTAGTAATATTATCGTCTGCTTTTCTTGAGATAAGACAGCATATGTCCCTTTTCGTGATATTTTTGATGTGTTCAACTGTTTAGTCGTAAAAAGGTAACAATTATAATGATAGACTTATTATTGCATTTTAATAATATTAATGTGATTATAATTTTAATATGATAAAGATTCAAGTAACTGACGTCCTTATAACTAGATATATACTATATACATAAATTTTTAAACATTAAAAATGATTAAACAAGTAACGCAGCAGAAAGTAATTCATATTTTGATTCCCGAAAAATATAAATATCAGCAAAAAACATATCCAATTGTAACTATCCAATCGAGAAGTAGTTATAATTGGAACTCGAATTAAAATGGCCGACGATAAATTTGCCGGCAACTTTCGAGTCGATTCAAGTATCGAACTAAATCGGTCGCAATTTATAGATACCTGGTAGCAATTGGACGATTAAATTTATTGGAAAACGAGAGATTTTTCTGCGGCCCATTATTTAATTAATCAGTCTACGAGAATTTGGCTGTAGAGATATAATATATTTAAAAAATATACAATACTTAAGCAAACATTACAGGTACTACATAAGTAGATAGATAAAATATTTATTGTCAACATTAAACAAATTACAATATATATAGTATAGTTGCTGATATAAGCACAACCTCAATGAGGTGCACCTATACAACGTTGGTAGCCAGGCAGCCCCAATACCTCATTAAAAAAAACTACTTGCGGGTTTATCTCATTCACAGGCATTATACACAGTGAGTAGCAGTTACTCACAAACACACATTATTTTTTTTCTTTTTTATGCAATTAAATGGCGCAAAATGACGTCCGTGATGGAAGTAAGAGGCAACCATCTTCTATATACATGAATAGCACCACGCATACTTCATCACGTGATGCTCGTGACACTTCTCATGCTATTCTGGATGATTACGATGGCATGCCTATTTACCCTGTAATTTCACTGCCATACCTCAAACGAAACATTACATTACTGATGTTCTCACTTTCTTTCACTCAATAATTCATTTCACAATTAATTTTTCTTACAATTACGGAAAATGAGCACGCGTGGCGAGGCAGTACGTACTGTAATAGAAAAAGGGAGGAATAAACTAACGGGTTCATGGGAATATGCGCCTATTTCAACGGGCATATGGTTTACATTAAACACACTTAAAATAATAATAGATAAAAAAAAATCGGATAAATCTTATTAATATTATAAACGCGAAAGTGTAAGTATGGATGTTTGTTACTCTTTTACGCAAAAATTACTGAACGGATTTTGATAAACTATTTCACGCGGGTGAAACTATCGACACAGCTAGTATTATAGAAATTGCATTTAATTAATACACTACACCTTAGTACCCATCAATTAAATGAAACACTTTAATTAATTCAATTTAGTATAGAGCCGTACCAGTATAAGTGCCCGAGGCGAGTTGCTAACTTGGGGATAGCAGTGAGTTTTAACAATTGGATATTGTTTGGATTTAATGTTTTTAACCGACTTCAAAAGGTAGTATTTCAGTATGTTTATACTTTATATACGTGTTACACAATTGCAATTTGATTTATGAAATTATTATATATATTTATCAAATTGCAATTATTATTGTGGAAGAGGCGATTGTTAATAATTGGTTTCATTATAATAAATAATAACTGTAGACAATTTACACAGCGCCGTTTAGTACAAACTAAGCAAAGCTTGTGTTATGGGTACTAAACAACTGATATAAATACATAAATATATACATAATATACCTATCAAACACGAAAACCAAAACAAACAATCATACTCAGGAATACAAATGTTTATACTGTGCGAGGAATCGAACCCATCCAAAGTCAAAACCGTCAGACCACGGAGAACTTCAGATCAATTTATCCTCTTAGGTGGATCACATCACATTGGGGAATAATATATTGTAATGGAAACTAGTAACCCCATTACTAGCCATCAGATTATCCAGCTATGCATGCCATTCTTCTGGAAATAATTATGTTTAATTTTCTGTGAAATTCCCATGATGAAATTGACTTGATAGGATGATGAAGTTTTGTCATGACTCGAAGGACGTGATTAAAAATGCCCATGCTATCATTTTCCTGGTGGATGATGGTAATGATTACTATTATTAGAGCAGTTATCGTTATTCTATTCATAAAAAAAGACATCATTTATACGTCCATATTCATTATCGAAGTTCCTAGAAGTATACTAAGTATGATTTTACGCTATAATGTGCCCCTTACCGATTCCTCTGTTCACCTTACAGCTACAGATACAGTTTGACATATGTACTTGTTATACATATACACCTATATAAGTATACAATGTAAATAAACTGACTTAAAAAAAAGACATTCAGTTGAGATTCTTGACCGTTCTTCTTAAATGAATGTGTATGTTGAACTGGTCGGTAGGAAAAAATATTAGTACATAAAACTTGACGTCCATAAGAGACGAAAATGTTCTACATGATAAATGATTTTTGGTTTTATTTAATTTGAAGTTAAAATCAATTCTAAATATTACCTGAATCCACACAATTCGCAGTGATTCCTTCCTACTTGGTTCAACCATCTTTCCAAACAGCTCAAATGGACATTTGCCAATGATCCCTTACAATTGCAAGGCGAGATTAATCTGTAACATTTCATATTTTTACAAAATAAACCGAAATATTGTAATATATAAAGTTTTTGCTTTATGTGTATCTTACATATACTATAAAAATTCTCGTGTGACAATGTTACTTACCTAACGTAACTTAACTTAACTTCCAAGAAACAGCTTGACCGATTTTCTATTTACTATTTTTCATATCCCTAAGTGTTAAGGGTTGTCCATCCGTAACATACTTTTTATTATTTTATGGACAAGTTTTTTTTATATTTTATAACGTGGCATTAAAAATACATATAATACTCCAATACAACGCATCTCCTTTAAATCTTCATTAAAATTATTTTACTACAGTTATTTTTCTACCCTCTCTATCGATTTATAGAACTTAAGCACAACACACAAACATGAGGCTAAAACTAATAAATCCATAGAGCAGGATTGTGTTAATTGAATATTAAGTAGACTAAAGGTTCTTCGACCCAATGGGTGATCCTAATGGCAAAGTTTAACACTTCACGGGCCACGTGACTAAGTTATTAAGCTGATTTAATGAAAATTCTACTAAACTACTAAATAGTAGTAAACTGTGTGAATATAGGGTGATTATTTATATCACCTACGGCTTTATAGTACTTTATTACTTCAATTCAGGACGAATGCAAATATGATTTTCTGTTCTTAGATTCTAGGGTACCAACGCATATGACTTTTATCAGTCTAGATGTTAATATTTTGTGGATATACAGCAGTAAATATGTTTGCACTTGATTTCATTACAGTCGCACGTAAAATATAAAAGTTACTTAGCAACAAGAACACTAATTTTAAATGTGATGGATTACTCTTCATTCCACAGTCAATGTGTCGAATACGGTCCCTTAATCCATTACATTTAAATAATATACATAATATAAAACAATATACAGAAGAGTAAACAGTAGTAGTAAAAAACATGTCCAAAATTAATCTCTGTTCAAATACTAGTTACTAATTATAATTCGACTTAAACAAGAAAACTAATTTGAAATCTGATAGATTATACTTTTTAATTCACAATCAATGTGCCTAATAATACGTAATATAGTGATATTTATCTTCATAATTGTCTTGTACAGTAAATAATATTTACTATTTGATAACACTGAGCGAACACAAATACACAAATTACAATAAAATTTGTTCAGTTGAATAATAAAAGCTATTTTGTTTTCCGCATGTAAAAGCAAAGGAATTCCCAACATACAGCCAATACATATGTCAAAAGAAAGCATCGAGGCATCTGATTAGTGTTTTCTGGGTACGTGAACCAGATCATTTATTTTAAATGTTAAGGAAACAAATATATTACGACGATAAAATTTCTACTAAAATTCTTTGCATTCACTTTGTGTTTATAAAAATCTGATTCGAGTGACATGAATTTTATATCATGATAATATTTACATAATTATTACAACTTGTAAGGAATTATTACTTAAGAAAATTGTGTGTATTTCTAATGTGAAACATGTAATGAGTTAGGACCGAACAAATGTTGGCAATTGGATTGTAAAAAAAATCATGCAATAAATTGAACCCATGGGAAGACGGAACGGGATGCTAGTATATTATAAATTTAGTAGAAAATATTGAGACGAAAATCAAGTGAATTCTATATGCGCTTACGTCGATGTTACATTTCCCCTCATGTGAAAATATTTACGAGAAAACTTGTGTGGCAGATTCGAAGTTTGAACGGAATAAACATTCAAAACTACGAGTATATCCAAAGTTTCTAACCTTTCCCGTCCACGTGTCATACAAATCCTGCAAACATTTGAACCAATGCTTGAGAGTGAATCTCTTTGCGCTAAGCAAAAATCAGATCGCTCCGATAAACTTCCGGATGTTTTCTTTTTATCTGAACCAACTTTGGATTGTTTCAGCTCAACTGGACCTGTGTTTGTTACGATCACTTCATTTGGTATGTTTGTTACAGAGAAATTTTGCGTTTGAACGTCATTACAACTGGTATTTGGTACTTGTTGAACAACTTCATTATTTATTGTAGGAATTGATTGTAAATTATGAGAGACAGGAATTTCGCCTATCATTACAGTATTAGGCCCGTCTTTGTTCATTTTGAAACAAGAGGCCATAAATTTTTTTAGATCTATAAAACTGGTCGTGTCATCTTTATTTGTATTTTGTTTTTTATCCAGTATTGATATTTCGAGTTCTTTTACATTTATGCCTTTTTTGATATCGCTTGGTGTACCAAAATTGAGTGATTTTAAAGCATCCGCTACGTCTTTATTGGTTATAATTTTTCTTAGGCTGTGTTCGGATTTAGATAGGCCTGGCTTAGCCTGAAAAGCAGGTCTAAGGATATCTGGCACAGCTCCAGGTAGAGATGTCGATCCCGAAGGTCCAGCATCATCTCCTAATTGTACAGAATGTTCCTTATTATTTTCACTTTTAATTAGATTATCCTCAATACTCGTAGATTCTTCGTCTGTTTCATCTTTTGCTTTATTGTCCATTAAAATTAGATAGACATTTGTATTTTATAATAAATAATATGAAAACAAATAGGTATTGTACAAATGATGCAGTTTTTAGTAAATAAGTTGACATTTCAATGACAAACCTATTCATTATTTTCAAAGTCTGTAAAGGCGCTATTTAAATAGTTTTTAATTAAGATACAGCGTTATATTTTTTTCTCATAGTTTATTTGGAAACAGTTGATTAACAGTAGAAACATTCTATTATTGGGTTTAAAATTAGATTTGAAGTGAATATGAACTGCTAACATTGTAGAAAAATTAATACGGCATTAATGCCATAAAAAAGAATATTGTTAAAATTAGTATGGGTAGATATTGAGTAGGTTGATAGAACCATATTTTGTATAATGTTCTTCAATACTAGTAGCAGCAGAAAATGGGAAGAGGAATAAAGAAAGCAATTGTAAGTAAATTTACCACAACATTATTTAAGCAAACTAGTTTCTGATGTAGAAATAAAAGCAGATCTACAAAATGCGTTTACTCAGTTGATTTAAGAATTTTAAATTGTTGAATGAACTACCAGCCGTTGTTTTCTCGAGAGTAATATTTATTAGTAGAGAGCTATTTCAAGAAGTATGTATTATGGTTTCTAAAGGGACGTCAAAGCGACGTGATGCCCATGGTCCATAGACCATGGGGTATCACCATGGCTACGGTAACCGTTTACCATTAGATGGGTCGTATGCTTATTTGCCACCTACGTAGTATAAATAAAGCTATATTTTTTAAGTCGGTTGAAAATTACAGACCAGCACAGTAGATTAGTTGTCAAACATCTGAGAAAGCATGTTTCCATGTCACCATGTATATTGGAACTGTTAATATAAAATATTTCTTTCTTGCGTTGATGTTTGACTTAAATTAATTTGTATTTCGATTCTTCGGCCTCAGTAACATATTCTAAATAGCTAATTTAATTAAACCAAAGCTACAAAACCTTTGACTCGAGTTGTCTCTAGTGAATACCAGGGCAAATACTGGCTGGGATATTACTGAATAGTTCACCAGTGGTTCTCAAAGTTGTCTACATCAGGGTCCACCTAAATAAAAATTAGAAACTCATGTGTAATTTCTAGGCCGTCTTAAAGAATTAAAGAATTTTAGTGATACTTAGTTTTAATAAAAATATAATATTTTATATGCATTTAAAATTTCAGTACTTCAATACTCGGACTGTTATTTTAATGCCATTGATGTAAATGTTTATTTTTAACCACAATAACTTCTGCATTAGTTTAGTCCGTCTGACTGTACGGCTGTCGGCCTGTTTGTTTAGTTGGTTTATCATTACACCTCTTAATTGTATTATATTTTATATTGCAAAAAATTATACACAGCTGACCAATTTGTTCGGAACTAAAGAATAAAAATTCAGAACAGACAAAAAAATTTGCGACTCTAGAAATGTCTGTAATAAATATTTAATATTATTGAACTCCTATTTCTGCAACAACTCTTGTCACATTGTTATCGCGGTTAGCAACATACATATTAAAAGATTAAGTTGAAAATTGGGATATTAGCATTCCGTCAGTCCTTTCTTCGGAACTTGGGACATAATGGTTCAAAATTGAGATATTAGTGAATATAGTTGTGGCACATAGTTTGGTAAGAACTGGTCAACACACATCTAGATTTTGCTGGACTCTGGTCCGGACAATAGTCGGCGTTTGCGGTCGTTTTAATCCTCGGATTAGAGGTAGATAACGTAGTGTGAGCCTGAGTCGTGAGATCTCTTTGTCCGTTTGTCTATCTCTAGGTATGAAAAAATAGAACAACATTTACACAAGAAATTAAATAAAAGTGCGTAATTAACTGCTCTATGAAGGGGCTAGATGGGTGGAGGGGGGGAGATATAGGGTTCCCTAAAATGTAATAATATAATATAAAGTACTATAATCCTTAAAATTGGTATTAGTTGTAAGGACTTAGCTTCGGTCGCTACGACTCATTATTCAATTTAAATTTTATGTCCAAAATTTTTATTACAAATCAAAATAAAAGCACGTCTCTATAGACGTATTTTTGTTTTTGTGTGTCCGAAAACATCAACCGAGTTCATTGTTCAGTGCTGAATATAGATTTAGTTAAGAAATTAATTAGAAATAATCTTCATTCAAAAAAATATAGATATTTCTATGGGCATATATAGATATAGACATATCTTCAGATTAGTATTGTTTGTAATCTACCGCTCATTCGGGAAAACAGATGAAGCCAAGAAGAAACAGCAAGAAAAAAAAGAATGTAGTGATTTAATACAATAAATGACTATTAAAATGTTTGATTAACTTTAATTGGGATAAATATGTATATTCAGATTCATTCATAATCCACCTTCCACGATCTTCTATCAGTCCCTTTAGCTGTAGATACGACACGACTCCAACTTTTTCTTTAACTTGCTTGATATAGCTGTGTCTTGGTCTTCCCCTTCCTCTCTTTCCATCTATATTTTCTTCTATAATGTTGTTAATTAGTTCGTCGTGTCGTATCAAGTGCCCCAACATTTTCCCCGTCTATTCTCAATAATATCTATGATCTGTCTCTTTTCTTTAATCCTCTCAAGCACTTCTTCATTCCTTATTTTATCTTTCCAGCTAATTCTTTCCATTTTTATTCAGATTAAATACAAATAATTCATAATTAAATTTATTTAAGTCTATGAACACTTACGGTTTTTATTTGTCACATTTGCATGGAATAATAAGCAGTTTCAGGCATAATAATTTTGACTGACCCAATCTTTAATCAAATTCCAAGATATTAAGGGTCGGCAACTCTTATGTAACATCCCTGGTGTTTCCGTCATCTATAGGCTACGGTAACCATTTATCATCAGATCGGCCGTATGCTTGTTTGCCACCACTGTGATATAAAAAAAACGCAACACACACGAAGTCATTTCTAGTTAGAATATGAATTTCATCAACAAACCAACGTATCGTTGAGACAATATGAGACCAGTTTACTACCCCGACCAAACTTTCCTGTTGATAACAAAACTTTGTGTGTCAATTTAAATTTCTAACTAACTCTGTGGCGATGGCAAATAATGATAACAAACCTAATTATTCCGAGAGACGGACACTTTCTCATGTATTATCACTTTGCCACAATAATGTTATAACGTATATATATTTTAACTATTCTTTGTGTTTAATATACAAGCTAGTTCATGTACTGATATTTAGATAATATCGGTACATGAACTGAACTAGCTTCTATATTCAATACTGATTTAATTGATGAGTATTTTTTTACAATAACATTATAATGATTGTGTAATGTTTTGACCGTTTACAAAACATGTATTATATATATTATGTTTATTCCAAGCAAGAACCCGCAGTAGAGGATGATAACCCGTGGTGGTAAATGAAAATTTATATTGTGTTATTTTTTTCTGCGAATTGTTCCCAATTGAAATCGTTGTAGCCGTTCTTGAGTTAAAAAACGTGTTTAGCGGCTATTAGGTTACTGTTAATATTTATTGAATATTAATATACCGAATTCAATGCATATCAAACAAAATTTAAATTTTAATAATTTTTCATTATGTAAAAGAAGAGCTATAACGATAGAAATTTAAAATTTTGGTTGGATATAACTTATTATTGATCTTTGACGTAATAAATCACATGTTCTCATTGCGGCCAAGTCCCTGATGCGCTTCAGTTGTAACATCTGTATGGGATCCGATTCGTTCTGTCTTTTAAACAAGTTAAAACCAAAATCTAGAGCTTTAAAAGCTGCTACGTGAGATGGTACTTGACATATAACCCCAGTTTCAGTCTTTTTTCATCTTCACTCTCAGTAAGAACTGTACAAATCCTCAAATATCTAATTTGATAATTAGAGAGGATGAGTCAGGATAATCGGGTGTTCGGAGAATAGGGATTCTACTGTATATTATATTGATGAATAAAAAATTCACAAAGTTATAAGCCCTAGGCGAAACCAGGGCGGGAGACTAGGTTTTGGAATATATACGAAGGTACTAGGAGGCCAGAACTTGACAGGAGTAGCAATTTAATTGTTAGTTAACTACCTGTAAACTTGTCTTTAATCAAAATACAAACTAATTAATAGCCAAGCAATTTAACGCTTGCACCGTAAACTGTGTTACTTTGATAGAATTCTGGAAAACAAACTTATATTTGGTATTGAGAAAATATAAACACATTGCAAGAAATCTTATTTAAATACGCATAAATGTTGTTTTTCAATGTTTTTACACTTTATAGAGTTTTGCAACTATGTTAACGGTTTGATTCGCAGTTGCAATCGTAACTGCTTTAATAACGAAACATTAGTGAAAATATTGTTCAAAGTTAAAACGGTTATTACGTTTCGTTGTACGTTTCGTTAACAATGTTTTTTAAGGTTGTTTATTCGGTTGTTACGTAAAACAGAGTACATATAGTTTAAAATCTATACTAATGTTCTAAAGAAGAAGAACACAAAAATATATTTTATATATGTAATTTAAAATATTATTGACCTATACAAAATTGTGTTATTTTTGGAATAATGAAAGTCGTAATAATTCTATAAAATAAAGAAGTTTAATTGATTAATTGGTGAAATTTTAAAATACCATTTTTAGAATTACACTATTAAATATACACTAATATTATATATTCGAAAGTATCTGTCTGTCTGTTAGAAAAGACGTAAATATAAATGGTATCACGAAAATAGATGTAGGCTATATTTTAACTCAAAAAAGAAGACAATGTCGTGGGTAGCACTTAGTCCATAGGTTTTATAAATCGCTGATATATACTCAATTTTAATTAGAAACCTCGGAATTCAGTTGTGTACCTATATATTATAATGAAAATCTTATAAAACACCACGACAACCGTTTGAGTCTAATTAAAATACACAATATCAACAATAACTTAATAATAATTATGAAATTAATTATTTTATTCCGGCAGTGGGTCGGCATAACCCGTTTTACGTCACGTTAAATTTCGCTCCCGTTGGAAATGTAATTATTAAAAATATTTTTTCGAAAAATTCTGATATCATTAGGGGAA